ATATATTCATCCTTAAATAAGATCAATATGAATAGAAAGCTTGATTGAAAACCATTAGTTTATCTTTTTCTGAAAATCTGCAAATGGATAGAATTTTATTATTACGCTGCAGAGCTTCTTTTTTCTTCCTCTCAAAATTTAAATTGGATTATTAGCACTGTCACATTGATCAAATTTTAGATATTGAAGGCCCAGAGAAAGACACGTTTTACCCATATACCTTAAGATGCTAGTGTCATTGGTTTCCAGGACAAGCCAAAGTCTAGGTGAGGTCGAAACTGCAGTCCACTCCGGATGAGAACAAATTTTGGGAAAGCAAGGCTATGTGAAATTCAATGGAAACGTCAAATCTAATCATATAATTGTGGGAAAATTATACTACCATTTCTTCATCACCTTAAACGAAATAATGTGAATACATCACATATATATTCTTATTATCTCTTCATAAAATTTCCGCCTCATCGCCGGAACGTAATTCGTGACTAGCAGATCTGCTTTGTAAATTCATGCAATTCAGTGGGGTAAAACTTTTAATAACTGACTTTTTGCTTACGAAATGTAGCCACTACTACCGCAATCTGCTCAGAATCTCTGAGACCAAAAGCAAGTTATCTTCACGACATTGCCTCTCTGCAGCTTTTCATCCACCTGTTTGCGCCTCTGCTCGAACAGCTTCAACCAGCTGATTTTGACAGCCTCAAGCTCGAGTCAGGTTTAGCCATCTGGCTACCTTTGTTCACCTGGAGCCAGCCGGCTGGTGGATGCTTTCGTCTGCCTGTAAAACCACAGCGAAACAAGAGAACCTGGCTCAATTTATTCTCTGACGAAGAACCTTCTGAGTGGCAATATTACGGTCTACCATCTCCATCATATCGTACTTCTCCACTATTCGAGAAATCACGGCAACAAAATCATTATATAGTTTCTGTGGCCAATGCAAGTATTTCATCCATCCCTGACAAGGAATGTAAAAAGGCCCAACAGGACCAGGGGACGTCACACGCGATGGACTTACTACCCCAAGCCGTCATTTGTTCACAGGCCGACAAATCAGTATTGGATCTAACTTCCCCACATCTTAATCTGCCTAACTTTGAGTCGGATGAGGACAAGGAAGAAGAGGTAGACTATGTTTTTCCTCCACATTTACCTTTAGAAAATCATCATTAACTTTTGATTGCATTTTTTAACCCAGGGATTCCATATTTTACAAATACTTTCAGTTAATTTATATATTCAGATAGTATGTTCACCAGCAAAAGTCTCAACTTACTGCTGTAATTGCTCCAGGCTCCATAAGATGACGATGCACTGATAGTTAAATTTTACCACAACGGAATGAGGTGAACTCACGTTTCCATTTATTTTCACTTTCACCAAAGCATATCCTCGTCGAAGTTAGATTACTTTTTTGACTTCGTATAGGTCTCCTGAGCACCCTTAACGGTAA